TGGAGATAACTACAGTTTAATGTCGGATTTTGAAGGCAGGTATTCTTAGTGATGGTTTTTAGATATCTTTAAGCCTTTGTAATAGATTACTAAACATATACTTATCACATTCAACTATATGCATATGTACATATGTCTAATGTTCTTATTAATGACTTCATCTTTACAATTACATTTGATTGAAATAAAATAGATTTATTGTATTTGCACATTTTATGATATGGCATTTCTTTATAGTTATATTGATTGAACCTAAACATAAAATTCTCTTGAAGATAAACAAGAAAATTTAATTAAAAAACTAAAGTCGTATTCCTTGCCTGTTTTTGTTGTTCATCAATCTAGTATATAACTTGAAATATATTAATATTTATACTCGTTACATTAAATTGATAGAATTGTGGGAAGAATACATGATGAATGCATCTTTACACATAATAGATCAGTGTAAATGAATAAGAACGCAAAAGGGTATGAGTGTGCATGTACAAGGTGTTTGGAAAGCCACTATGTACTTATATTTTTATTGACAGACATGTTTCAATAGAGAATACAGTAGGAGAATATAAATGAAAGTTATTAACAATGTTGAAAGTAACACCCATCAGCATCAAGACGGGCTTGGATCCTTCTTATTTTGTTTCTGAACACCGCAATTCCAAGATCTTGCATCTGTGCTAACTTTTGTAATGATTTTCTTGGACTCCACTGCAAAACGTCAGAAATATCCAACAGTTAACTTTGCTGGCCTGCCACAACATTTGGCATTGTCCACTGATCCTGTTTCCTGGAATTTATCAATAAGGTTGCAAACTACATTGTGATATGGAACAGATGTATCTGAAAATTTATCAGCAAAACACTGTCACACCAAATCTGTGTATCTACAGCCTTCTCAAAATATGTGTTCGACGAGAAATACACGTGCTTCGGTTGTTAAAGCCACATTGGGGTGAAATCTGAAATATAAAAAGTATGATTAGAAAAGTGCACAGTAACTTTATGAACTCCCTGTACATATTATTTGTATTCTACTTTTTTAAATATATGAGTTCTCTATTTTAAATTCCTTTAGAGCTTTTTAATACACATAAAATATAACATTTTTTATTTACTCATTTACAGCAGAAACATTAAAAGATTGATATTGACAAAAACATTTCATTTCATGCTTAGTGATTTTTAAAAATCATTAAGCATGAAATGATTCTGTAAATGAGCAAATAAAATAAGAATATTATATTTTATATTTATTTAAAAAAAAAACTCTTTTAAAGGAATTTAAAGTAGACCACTTTTATATTAATATCAATTGATTAATTTTTTTTTTTATTGCTTATCAATCCTTTGTAGGTTATTTAAAGCCAAAAAATATTTTAAATTGTAAGAATAGTTTATTTTTATTTTTTATTTTTTTTTGCTAGTAAATATTGCATTAACAACTTTTTGGAGATACAAATGATTTTTTTTTCATATACAAGTTCTACAATTTAACCCTTAGCTGAGTGGAGGAGATTAAGAAAAAGAATATGCAAATAATATATATAAACATTTTTGTTTTATTTACCCATTTACAACACAGTTTTACATTTAATGATTTTTTTCAAAATGGGTAACTATTAAAAAAAATACAGTCATCAATTTCTAAAATTGGTTAACATGAAACAGCATTGGAAATAAAACAAAAATGTTACTATAAGGGGATTCTGAAAAGTTATCAGTCCAACCAAGAAAGATTCCCAAAACATTCTGATTGGTCATTTGATCATAGATGCTCAGACATTGGTATTTTGATCTCCTATGAGGCTGTCAGTGATAATTTGCTGGACTACATCTTCACCAATGACAATAAATGATGTGAGTCAGAAGAATCAAAACAATAGTCCATACATTGGCAACATGCAAATTCTGTTATGTAAGAAAAAGTTAAAGTTGTGGCCAGCAACAGGTAAAGTGACATGCATTGTCTTTTGTCACCCTCCTGCATTTCCTCAAACCCATCAAATCTGATCATTAGAACCTTGACTAAACTGAAGGTCTAAATTTCCAAATTCAAGCCAGAGAAGACAACAAATTTCCTCTTGCACCAGCTCCCACACCATGGATTACTATTTATGCTATTTATATTCAGCCTATTGTCTTGATCTTTGTTGTTGTTATAACAACATTTCGGCTCTTGTGCCTTCCAGTCTTCTTCAGGTGTATAGCAAACCTACAACGCATTCTAAACCAAACCCTTTATTTAATCTACAGGGGATAGACTGTTCTTATTCTACTGCTTATGTCTAGGGATGTCATCTAGTTCTTATTTTTTATTTAGTACTGCTCAGTTATTGCCCACCTGTTTCCAGTGAGTGCAAGTATACACTGCCCGACACAGTGCTTGAACTCACAACCATTATGTCACCAAACTCATAAACCAATGCTTTTACCCATTATGGGACAATGGCCTAGTGAATTTGGTGACATAGTAGTTGTGAGTTCAATCATTCGGTCAGGCAGTATATACTTGCATTCAGTGGAAACAGATGAGGAATAACTTAGTAGTAAATAAAATAAGAACTAGACGATAAAGCTGAAAAGATAATCATCAGTTTTTAATTGTGATGTTTTAAAGTGCAACATAAAGAAGAATCCAACCAATAGCACTTTTGAGAAGAGAAAGGACCATCAAAACATACCATATGTACCTCATTCTTTTTCTATGTGCCGGACACACACACACACACACACACACACTATATATAGTATAAAATATATATAAATTAAAAAAATATAATATAAATTAAGCAAGCAGACCTTGTCAGTTCTTTTTAATCAAACTTGTTTGGAGATTCATATGACGTCATGTTTTCATTGAGACATGTTTCATTAAATAATTTAGGCAAGTCTACTTATTTTCAGTTGAATCCTTTCATATTCTTGGACAAGCTTTTTGGTGTCATTATTAAAGAAAGAGAGAAAATTACTGTGTTGATACCTATTATTTACAATGTCATTATCATGGTGTTGCTTCTTTTTTTTTTTCAAGTAGTGTTCATTTTTAAAAACAAAATTAATGTGTTTCAATTTTTTTCTAAACACTTTCAACATACCTGTCCACATTAGCAATTCAGAAAAATTATTGTTGAAAATACATCAATAATTTTTCATGAAAATAATAAGCATAAATTAAAAATTCTTGAAGCTATCTATGTTAAAAAATTGAAACCAAACCTTAATAAAATTAATTATAAATACTACATAAATGTTTTAAAATGTGTACAGTACATACTTTAAAATATCAAGGTTTGTACCAATAGTTCTTAATACTTATTTTGTTTAAAGACATACTCTCGACACCTCATAACTTAGTTATCTCCCCTGAAGTGTTACTCAACTAATTGCACCAAACTCAGCATTCTTCTTCACTAGTAAAAAAAAAAATTTTATCTTTCAGATGAACACAGTAATTTTGTCTTTGAAAATGATGAACACTACTATATTTGTCTTGAAAAAAAATATTACAATGATGATGACATTGTGCTAATGTTGAAAGTACTTGGAATAAATAATATGTATCAACACAGTAATTTCCTCTCTTTCTTTAATAATGACACCAAAAAGTTTGTCCATGAATATGAAAGGAACCAATTGAAAATAAGTAATAATTCGATGAAACATGTATCAATATATATATATATATATATATATATATATATATATATATGTGTGTGTGTGTGTGAAAAGTGTATATAAATATAAATAAATATATATATTTATAATTATTTATATATTATTTGCGAGGTATTTATTAGAAAGCGCTCAATATCAGAGATAGAGCTAACATATTTGGTTGGATAGATGTGAGTTTGTGCGATCGCTAAAGCGTGAAACCCAGGATCACAAACTCACATCTATCCAACCAAATAAATAAATATATATATATATATGTATGTATGTGTGTGTGTGTGTGTGTGTGTAAAGTGTGTGTGTGTATATATATATATATATGTGTGTGTGTGTGTGTGAAAAGTGTGTGTGTATATATATATATATGTGTGTGTGTGTGTGTGAAAAAGTATATATATATGTGTGTGTGTGTGTGTGTGTGTATATATATGTGTGTGTGTGTGTATATAAATGTGTGTGTGTATATATATATATATATATATATATATATATATATATATATATATATGTGTGTGTGTAATATATATATATTATTATTTATATATGTGCAATGTGCAGTACTTATATATATAATGTATTTAGGCAGCAATCCTTCTTTCATACAAGCTTCATTAAATATGACAGACAAGATGCATTGATTAAGTTTTTTATATAATTTCTTATATGATCTTATAAATTTTTTTCTTTTCAGTAGATAAATTATACAAAAACTGTCCAAATGTTATATTTTTCCAAACACTTTTGGCTATGCATTTAGCCATTTTCTAGGATGAAGTATATTAACTGTTTATTTATATATATATATATATATATATATATATGAAGGATGAAATATATTAACTGTTATATATACACACACACACACACACACACGTATCTATATATTAGTAATTACCTGAATATTTGAAGTAAATAACAGATAATATATATTCTGTATATCATGAAAGCTCAACTATCATTTTGTCTCATTCCAATTGTGATTAGTCATAAAGATATTGGTTTATTATATTTTCTTTGTCTATTGGACCCAAACATTTAAAATCAAAGTCTGTAAAACTGCTCAGGCCTTTATCTAACTCAGATAATAAATATTTTTTTAAAATATTTAGTGAAAGGACAATAAATATAAATTTAGTCATTTCACTTCCATCCTCTGCCATTTTTTTTCACTCTAATCTGTAGTTTAAGACACTGTGGGTTATTATGTCGTGCCACTGGTTACAAGTTTTTGCCCAAAGTGATAATCTTTTTCCCTTTTTTTTTTTTTTTTCTTTGTATGGTTTTCTTTTTGATAATATCCCTGCCTTATTTCTCTCTCTCTCTCTTAGATCCAGCATCTGCTGAGAATGATGGCAAATCTACTACCCTTAATACCAATGACAGCCCGGATGCCCCTGCTGTAAAGACTGGGTTAACAACAACAACAACTACAGCAGCACCACCAACACCACCACAACCTTCAGCTAATGCCCCCCCTCCTCCTCCGCCACCACCACCGCCACCTCCTCCCCCTCCACCACCTCCACTTCCACCAATGTGAAAACAAAAAGAGAAAACTCTCTTTTTAATTTAATAAATAATTTAGAACTCGATTGAGAATAGATGATTGAATTTGAATTAAGAAATTTAAAGCTTCACTTGTTATTTGATATCTGAGAACACTTACATCTTTCTCTCATCTGGCCTCACTTCAAAAGCAAAACTTAAAGCATCTTCAGTCTCTTTTATACACTCCCTCTGGTTCTGTCTATTGTCTCTCCAAAGAATGGAAACTGAGAAAAAAATGACTTGATATCTCTTTAACCTCTTTTTCTCTGTCAGTCTTGTCTTCCCTTTTCATTTTCACTTCACTTTCTCTCTTCTCTCTCCTACCAACACTTTCTCTCTTCTACCAACTCTTTCTCTCTTCTCTCTCCTACCAACTCTTTCTCTCTTCTCTCTCCTACCAACACTTTCTCTCTTCTCTCTCCTACCAACACTTTCTCTCTTCTCTCTCCTACCAACACTTTCTTAACCTCATTTTTATTTTATTTTTCAATTCTTTGTATTCTTCTCATTGTTTTTCTTTACTTTTCTTTTTCTTCCTTTCTTAGTTTTTCTTTTGTCATTCTTCTCATTCTTTGTTTTTTTTTTTTAATTTCTTTTTTTTTTTCAGTTTTCTTTCTCTTCAATTCTTTTCTTTTCTTGCCTTCTATATTTCTTTATTTTTCTCCTCTATATTTTTTCCACATTTTTTATCAAAGGACCAGGAAGTGGTTGCTATTTGTTTTGTTTTTTTTCCAAATGCAGTTGTAAAAAATTTAAAAATGAAATTTAATTTCAGATATTATTAAACCGGCTTCATTGCATTTTTGTTTTGGTGGTTGAAGAAAAATGAAGAGAACAAAATGATTTATTTATTTGTTTTGTTCTCCCATGTTCTCTGAAAATGCCATCATCTTATTCTTGAATACTATTCCAGAATGGTGATTCCAAACTTTGGTATTGCAGAACAATATTTCCCAACTCATAAAGGAATTTTTTTTTGGAGGTGAGCAGGCAGTTTGTTGTGGTACAAGAAGAAAAGAATTTAGCTGAAAATGAGAGGGGGTCATTTATTTCATTTTTTTTCTTTCTTATGATGCTTTTGTTTTTTTTTTTCTTTCTCTTCTCTCTTTCACTATCTTTATATTCTCTCTCTCCTTTCTCTTTTTATCCACCACCTCTCTTTTTTCCAAACTTTTCTATTCTTTTCTATTTTCCCCACTTCCTCCTTCTCTTTTCTATTTTATTTCTTCTCTTATTTTCTTCCTTTCTCTTTCTCTATACCCTCTCCTTTTGCTCCTACTTTCCACTCTATTCCCATTTGCCCCTTCTCTATTTTATTCCTCTCTCTCTACCTTGTTCTTTTCCTCTCTATTTTTTACTCTTTTATATTCCTTTCTCTCTTGTTTTTCTTTCTTCTATCTCCTATTCCTTCTGTCGCTCTACACCCTTTTCAATTCTTCCCCCATTCTCTCTCTCTCTCTCTCTCTCTCCTATTTCTTTATTTTTCTATTTTTGATCTGATCTGTTCCTCATTTTTCCTTCTTCTCATTTCTCTATTTTTCTTTCCTTTTCATTTTTCCTTTTTTTTTTTTTTCTCAGACTCCTTTTTCCTCTACTTTTCTGTTATTTTCTTTTGTCTTTTCTCTCTTTCATATTTATTTCCACATGTTTTTTTAATAAACCTTTTTTGTTTTTTTTTAAATATTGATTGGCATCTGTATATTCTTGTCCTACAATACAGTTTTCGTTAATATATAAATTTTCAGTAACCATCCCTATTGATATTTACTGAATGAGTTTAAAATCCTACACCTAATGAAAACATTTTCAATTACTGACCCAGAAGTCATACTCATTGTGTGCATGATCAGAAGTTGTTCTTTTAGCCATTCTGAGGTTGGATATATGGTAGCCTAAAGTTATGTAACATCTCAATATTTTTACTTGTTGTTTTTTCTCTTTCTCTTTTTTGCATATTCTCTTTTTTTCTCTCTGTTGTTATCACCTTTTTTCTTTTTCTATATTCTTCTTCTTCTAATTTTTAACTTTCTGTTTTTCTCCTTTTTTCTTATTTTCTTTCTCTCTTTTCCCCCACATTCTTTTTCTGTTGTTCTCTTCTTCCTCTCTCATTTTTTTTTATCTCACTTCCATTTTTGTCTCTTTTTACTCTTTCCCTTCAGTCTTTCTCCCTCTTTTTCTTTCTCCTTCCTCTTTTTCTAATCTCCATCTTTCTGTATCCATCACTTTCTGCTCTTTTTGTATTTTTCATTCTCTCTTCCTTTTCTCTTTCCTTTATTTTTCTATATCACTTTTCTTCCCCTTTTTCTTTTTTCTCATTCTTTCCTCCTCTCTTTTCCTTAATGTTTTAATTTTCCTTTTTCTCTATTTCCTTCCTCTCTTCACTTTTGCCTTCCATCTCTTCTCTTTTTTTTTCCTTTCTTATTTTGTTTTTCTTTTTCCCTTCCCTTTCTATATTCCTCTCGGATTTGTTTCTTCTCCCTTTCTCTTTGTGCCCTGCACTCAATTACACTTCTAAAAATAGAACCAAGCCATTTCTATCTGTGCCACAAACTCTGGCCTTTGTTCCTTACTCATTGATTTTCCTAAAAATTTCATATTCAGCAAGAAAAAAAACAAATAAATTCTATTTTCAATATAAATTTTTTTTATTGTGAAATTAACAAGAATCTTATTTCGATTCAAGTGAATTTCAAGTTTTTCATTTTCAAATCGTCTTCTGGTTAATAAATTAAAGAAGTTACCTTAACAAGATTTTCTGCTGTCAAATGCCAACACCACTTCACATATTCATAAATATCTCATGTTAAACTCAGGACCCTTATTCCTTAAATGTATTTACCATTCCCTTTTCCTACCATATAAATTATGTAAATCACAGCTCAAAAAAAAAACAATGTCTTTCTTTCTAGCTCCTTTCTACACACACACATAAAAAGGATTGAAATTCAATTTTTTATAGCATCTTGTTGTATTAACCCTCTGTTAGTAGTGTGGGGCACTGTTGCAACATTAGTACCGTGGGGTTTTCAAACACCCCATTTAAAATATTAAAGTTCTTAATTTTCTTTTTTATATATTGTTTTCTTTCTTGTTTTTATAGAATAAATAAAAATGAAAAAAAAATTATTTAAAAGGCCTATATTAAAAACAGATTTTCAATGAATTTCAAATATGCAAAAATAGTTATTTAAATTATTTACATGCGGACTATTGTCCTCATCTTTGTTATTGTTATCACAGCATTTCAGCCATTGTGCCCTTCTGCCTTCATGTAAATAATGATAACTCCCCATCCCAGAAATTCAGACAAAAAATATAAAAATAGGTTTCATTTTCTTTTCAGTAGTCAAATAAAACTGCTAGTAATTCACACAATTAGTATAACTAAAACCAGAAACTGTTGGTAGTTACTTGACAGGTATTCAGAAATTTACTTAACTAATCATGAAAACTTGACTTATTGCTCGTTAGATATTGAATAAAAATATTTTGTTAGGTGTTCAAACAACCCCATGGTACTAACAGAATGTTGAAAAATTATTTGTTGATATCTCGAAGGTTATTTTTAAACATATATATCCATCCATCCATCAAAAATGCATTGATTCTGTATTTAATGTATATACAGATAAAGGAATTTACTTCTAAAACAAGTTTTTTAGAAAAAAAATCTACAATCAAATAAGTTTCATTTGACTAATCACAAAATGGTCTTTTTTTTTTCTGATGTAAATCATTCTTTAAGGCAAAGTCTGTCTTGTTTCAAAAAAATTAAAAAAAAAAAAACTATTGTGTAAACAAAAAAACAAACAAATATTTCTGCAAAATTTACTTTCAAGTGCAGAATGTAACAACACTGCTATTTCCCCAATATGGTCTTAAATCAGAATCAAGTTAATAACATTAATGTTTTGAATTTTGCAATTGAAACGCATAGATACAAAAAGTTTTCTTTTTTCTTTTTTTTTAAAACTGACAAACATGTTTTTGTTTATACTGTGACAAAAGAAGATTTTGTTGTAATTGAACCTGTTGGAAAAATAAATATTATTAAAATTACTTTTTTATTTTCTGCAAATTTTTTACCCAACACCAAGAAAATTTTAAAACTTAAAAAAAAAAAATAACTTTGAAAAATACATCAACATTTGATTAACAAAAAGGTATGTCTGTTCTTTATTCAAATTATATTAACCTAATTAAGTACTCTTTGTTAATCACTAATTGATTAATTACAATTTTGGTCTGATGTTTTCCACTGACATGTCTACTGCAAGGAAGGTTGGTCACTCCATCATGCCAAAAATATTTCTTGTTGGAATCCATCTTGCACATTTATAAATCTACCATTCTTCCGTGCATTGTATACTATTGCCATATCTGGTCTGGTGCCCCTGCTATGTATCTCAAGATTCTTGACAAAATCCAAAGAAATGTCTGTAATGTAATCAATCCTGACTAGGCATCTCCACTTCGGTCAGTTTCTCACCGATGTCATGTGGCTTCCCTCTGTCTTTTCTACAACAATTTTCATGATAACTGCTCTGACAGGCTTTTTTCCTTGGTGCCCTGACTACATGAATTTAAATATGCCACCAGATTGGCAACTAGGTCCCACCATTTTATCGTTGAAATCACTAAATGCAATTGCCACTCCTTTTTTTTTTTTTTTTTTTTCTTTTCACCCCAAGCAAGGCAGGAATGCCACTAGTACATAGGGGATTACAGAGAGTGAAGGTGAGAGAAAAAACAGGGGGTGACCAAGGAAAAGATAAAAGTTGAAAAGGGTTCAAGAAGATAGATGGCGATTGATGTTGCATTTAAATTTTTGAAGACTGTATTTATCAGAGAAGCAAGTAAACAGAAGGGGGTTCCACAGGCGGGAAGTACGAGAAAAGAAACTGTCGCTGTAAAAGCGGTGGTCACATTTAGCAAATTTAACAGTAAAAGGATCAGATCTAGACTACAATCTAATAGAACACTTAAATTCGCATAGTCTGGACACTAGAAAAAAATAACTTATAGCAATTTCCATTAAAATATTTGTAGAAAAGACAGAAAGAAGTCACGTCACATCTGTGAGAAAGTGACCAAAGTTGAGATGCCCAGTCAGAATCAATTACATTGCAGATCCTTCTTTTTTTTTTTTCTCACACTTCCCACCTGTGGAACTCCCCTCTGTTTTCTTGCATTCCAGATAACTACATTCTTCAAAAATTTAAATGCAATGTCGGTCATTGTCGTCTTCTTGAATGCTGTTATTTTTTTTTTTTTTGTTTTATGTCCTTCCCTCAATCCTCTCTATTCTCTTTCACTCTCTGTAAAGCCCTGACTTTTAGTTGCATTAATGCTTTGCTTGGAGTGAAATGAGTAAAAAAGGCAAGGAATATCCATTTAACCTTCCCCTTTCATTTGCCATGGAAGAGTGCTCATATATATGATTGTTTTTAGGATAGAGCTGCTTGT